TCCCCCAACCTGGCCCAGCCCTGATCGAACTGATCGACCTGTTCAGGGCTGGCCGGCTGGCCAACCGCCTGCCATCTTTTCCTCCTGACAGGCCTGACCTTGATCCATTGATTAGGGACAGGCCGGCGGGACCCCTCCCGTGCACAAATTCATGCACTGAGCCTCTAGTGGTTTTATATTTGTTCAGGTTTCACTCCAGTACTGTACTTATACTGTCTTCCAAACAATCCTTTTTTTTTTGTCTGTTTTTTGGGGGGTGTTTATCTTATGTTCTAAATAATTACATTTATGGTTAGAAAAAGAACTATAAATAATTGTATAAATGTGCTGAATGTAAAACTATATAGAGACATCACCTCAGTGGTGTAAATTATACATATACCCACAGCCACACATAAAGACAGAAAAAGGATTGAAAGAAATATGTTTACTTAGGTGTCATTTATTTTTCCCTTTTCATAGTTTAATGACTCTTTAAATATTCTATTTCATAAGCACATACAATCTTTTAGACATTTTGTGACGCTCCAAATAGTTTACTTTCATAACAACCCTAAAATCACTCAACAAAAATAAAACATTTTACAAAACATGCAGTCTAGCAAGACAAAGTGTAATAAGCAGAAACTACTTACAAGTATCTTTTTTTCTGAGCCAAAATTAGGCCTTAGTCCATTCAGGAAATTTAACATCAGCCTCCTTCATGTTCCCTCTGGTAAAATTGATGTGCTATTGCTGTGAATTTTTCAAACAGCTTCATGATCAGGAAACCGGCCAAGCATTTCAATCTGCCTATTAGCCCCACCCCAGTAGTTGTCCTTCCTCTGTGGTATAGTTTTCTCAGTAATGTCAATATTATTACTTGAAATGTGATGGAAAGTTCACAGGCTTCAGAGCCAGGCTTACCATGATTTAAATCAATGTTCTGTCACTTATTAGCTCTATAACCTTAGTCCTGTCACTATGTTTTGTTGAGCTTTGTTTTTATTCTCTGTACAAAGGGGTTAATAGTTATTATTATAATGTTGACATTTTTAAGACACAGTGATTGGAAATAAAATCCTTGTCATTACTCTTTTTTGTTGTTGTCATTGTGCTAATAAAAATTATTTTCTGTAATGAACTCTTAGATCAATTCTTGTTGAAAGAAACCAGACTTAGATTTTTGATCTTCCCATATGTAATGCCTTCAATTCAATGATGAATTACCGGAGTCAGCAGTTATCTGACATTTCAGTGCAGTGCACAGCCTGGTACAAATTCCTTGTTTGTTGGCTTGATGTGGAAGGAAAGCAGACCCACTGGAGTGCACTTTGTAATTTAGTGAAGCTGTTTGATAGAGGCTTTTTTCTATATTCAGGGAGAATTTGCCATTTTTAACATTTAGATTTATTTGTTCTCAAAACTTCTCTTGGGTCACTGCATTATATATAATTTTTTATTAATCGTCACCTGAGGATATTTTTCTATTGATTTTTAGACAAAGTGGAAGGGAGGGGGAGAGACAAACAGGGAGAAACATCAATGTGAGAGACACATTGATTAGTTGCTTCCCGCACACGCCCTGACCAGGACTGGAGATCAAGCCTGCAATCAAGGTACATGCCCTTGATCAGAATCAAACCTGGGACCCTTCAGTCCTCTGGGGACACTCTATCCACTGAGCCAAACCTACTAGGGCCACTGTGTGAATATTAATGACTATATGCACATTCAGATACATTATTTGTGTGACTCAGGGCAAGCTGTATTGCCTCCCTTTGTTTTCTGTATCCTGGTCTTTGAAATGAACAGATTAGATCAGGCAGGTTGCTGTTTGCCAAAATTCTGTAGATGGCACTAGGTGTTAAGAAAAAAATTAGAGAGATGTTAGATTCAGTGACGTCAAGACTTCTGCTTTTAACAATGCCAATTGTTCCTTTTCTGTTTCTGCTCCAGCCCATAAAATAAGAACTTATCCTAACAGGCTTGCCCTCTCCAGAGAGTATGGGAGCAGCTGTGACCCTAAGCTCCTGTAACTGGACAGATAAGAGGGCCTTATCATTCTTTGGACCATTTTCTCAGGCTACGGACACAGCATCCACCTTGTAATTCTTCTTCATTGTTCTTTAACAGAAGGGAAGGATCAGATTGCAACAAAACATTCATATTTCATGGGGTAATAA